TGAAATGGAAAATACGCTTTTTACCCCATTGAATGGATAGCTCCCATGGGATGGTCGGAGCAATTTCCTTTGCCTCGCCATAGCGTCTTCACAAGTAATTTTATTTTGAACTTTATTCCCCAGAGTAGGTTCCAAGCAATTATATATAGCAATTACATATTCATGTGAAACGGAATTTTAACAAAATACTAAGTTAGTTAATAAACTACACCTCATGATTCCTTTTATCCTAGCCACTACAACAATTGTGTTTAAATCACGTTTTATTTCAACACAGATTTATTTATTTATTTATTTTAGTTTGTAAAAGGAAATTAATTTTAGTTTACCTCTAGTTACAACAAGATCAGTATTTTAACACACCTCTCCAATATCACAATTATTGTTGTGTCAAAATGATTGGTAAGTACTGAAGCCGATCTCAATCCCAGACTTAAATAATTAGTCGCTTCAAATCTGCCGTCACTTTGAATAGATCGCCTTTATTATTTAAACCCCTTCCTCTTGTCATGGTATGCATAATTGATCTCTCGGGCTCACGAGTGGCTTGGCTTACTATGGTGTCCTGTATACTGTACTACCAAGCAAAATTGATCCTTATTGTGAATAGTGTTTGGATTGAATCTGATGGCAACATAATTTTTGTGGTCTCAGCCTAGACAAAAAAGTAACACTACAAAGCAGATCAGAGTAAAAAAAGAAAAAATGTCATTCAGGTTGTCTGCACTTATTTGTGTGCGTTTATCTTCCGTTTGTGTGTGTACGCGTTCAGCAACCATTGATGTTTGAATTCACACTTCACGTGAGAGGGCATTAAAGTAAACCAATCGCAGTGTTTACATGTGAATGACTCGTTACATTTGTGTGTGTATCTTTTAAAGTGTTAAAACAGAATTTATCTTACTGATTTACTTATATTTGATCTATTTAACTTTAATTCAGACACCTTGTTTAAGTTGTGTAATAATCTACTATAATTAGTCGTACTCTAAACTAGTTTTTTTAAGAATAAACTGAATTCTTAGGAATCTAAATACCTATTATTATAATAAAACATGTGTCGTGGTGGCCCGGAGGTTTAAGACGCCCGCTTCTCATGCATGAGGGTGCGGTTTCGATCTACCAACGGCAAGTACCAATGTGACTTTTTCCGAGTTATATGTACTTTTTAAGATTATTTAGACATCACTAACAAACGGTGAAGGAAAAACATCGTGAGGAAACCTGGACTTATAATTTCTAATAAATAAGTTTTAAATCGCCAACCCGCATTGAGCAAGCGTGGTGATCAAACCTTCTCCGTGTGAGAAGAGGCTTTGCTCAGCAGTGGGCATTTATAGACTGTTGATGATGATGATAATAATAAAACATATTTTATTTGTAACGGTATCCGATATTTAATATTTTGAATTTAATTGATTCATAATTCTCATTTATTAGGAAACATTTTTGTATTGAATCATATTTACATTCGTAGCAGAACGACTTCATTATGAGAATAATTTAATCTTGAAGTAATTGAATATTCAAAACCTATTTCAACAATTTATTTGTACCAAAAAGTTTCAACGTCGGTAGAGCCTATTCGATCAATCAAATTACAGATTAAATAAAGCTCCGTTCTATGAAATATTTTTCACACAAAACTGATTTATAGTTTCAAAGCGACCACTAGACGAAAAATAAAGTAATTTGAATTTAGAATGGGAACCGAGGCCCACGTTCGGATCTAAGCGAGGAAATTAAAACGAATGGGATAATTACCCGCAATCCTGAGCTACAAGTTTGTCGAATTCAAATGATGGCGCTGTAACTATAAGCTGATTAGTGAGCAGCTGCGGGGGTGGATTGTCTTGTGGTATTTCTTTAGTTGAATTAACTCAAGACTATAAATGTAATGCTAGTTTGAAGTGATTTGTTCTATAGAAACATTTTGGGTTATTGTATACATGGAGCTACAAAAGTTCAGGATTGTACCAACGCATTAAGATTAGCGCAGTGCTTTGAAGATTATTTACAAACAGAAATAAACAGCTTTACGAGGGTGGAGTTAGGGAAGATGACTGTCAAGAAAAAAAATGTCAACGCTGACAAAAAGGAATATAATCCAATTTCCTCTGTCCCAAATCGACTTCGTTCTGACTTGTAAGAACGTTGCCATAAAAACAAAAAGCTATGATAAAACTCGCCCCGTCCTCCCTGAGTTCATCAAACGGATCTTATCAACGATTTATAGGTTTAACCTTCGGCCAACACTCTCATCTAAGTACAGAAATTAAAACTGTAATTTCTAGAATATTCTGTAACTTTGTAATGGCGTCGAAGTGATGACGTAATGAAGAACAGAGCACAAGTGCTCACTTTAAATTTTATCTGCATTCAGAAAAGTTTGAAAACTTCAGGGAGATCGTAGTGATGTAATGACTAAACGTACTTCACGAGATTTTATTATGTTTTGAACTAAGGCAATCAGTAGTTTGCTTAACGTAAACTGCTAATGTCCTGTATGCAAGATATAGATATTGCATAAAGAAAAGAGAAAATGAGTCCAACGAAACTAAAATAATTATGGTTAGTTATTAAGTTCTCAAGCACGGTATTCACAAGTCGATAACATTGTAAAAACAAATAAGTTAAGCATAAGTTTTACCTCATCGTAGGAAACTAAGTTATCCTATTTCTGAGAAAGTTACATCGTAACACGTAAGGTCTGTATGAACCGACGCGGCCGGACGTAAAACAAACTTTATTCTTTTATATTTCGTTTGGCCCTTCAAACAAAATTATATTTTCTCGGATATGTTCTTCAAGAATTGTTTATTGCGTAATGACTAAAGTTGATAATTTTGTCAAATTACGTAATTTTAAAAATTATATCAGAATTACTGAACAGAATTATTGTCCAAGGTACAGGTAGATATTAGTAGGTTTAACTCAGTATAAATGATCATAGTAATGTAAATAAATAAAGAATTTACGAGACATATGACTAAGATCAAAACAATTGTTTTATGGTTTCAAAATAATTTAATGTATAAAAAACTTTCAGTTACAATGATGGGGTGAAATGAAACAACTTTTAAGTGCCTAATATTTGTAAATATATGAGTTTTATAAGTTCTGTACTCAGAGTTTTAATCAAAACTATTTTATACATGCACGGTTCGCTTAAATATATATGTTTTATTAAATTTTCACTCACCTTGGTGCGGGGTCAACGTTTCCATACATACATCACTACAATGAGTTTCAATCAGTGTTACCTCTATTAATTTCACAAAGTGTATCTGTGTGTATTTGTCACCCTCACAATAAACTAAAAATGTGTATATTGTATATTGTAAATGATACAGCAAGAGCAACTTCGAAAAATTTCATATCTTTGCAAGTAAAAAGTAATTACCTACTCTACATGACTCGAAAAACAATTACGAGCATAAAACCAAAATATACTTAAATATTCTGATTGTAAATTAATGATACTAAAGCGATACCACCTAAGTGCATCTCAATCTCATAATGACCAACTCACAAAATAGAGGAAAGTAGAAATGCGGAGTCCATGAGACGGGCGGAGCAATGGCGGCGGCAGTAGGAGGTCATTAATCATCACAACGCTTCACTTTACTAACTTGTCACTGAGATTTATGAGCCCGCCACGTAAAAATATGTTCATTACACTTATAATTATACTTTTTCAACTTGTACAACGAGTATTGTTTATTGTACTTCCTGGAGTCATTCCAAATAAATGAGTTTTAGTTTCATTACAGTCGTTTAAGGTTCAATATTCATTTATAAACGTTTCCTTATATGTAGGTATAAAGATATTAGACACTATGTTGGATATTTACATAGTAGGAGATAAAACATTATAATAGAGTTGTGGGAATCTCCAGTACCACCAAAACCTTAAACTTATTACGAATGAATAATAGAGTAGCTGTGAGTGGATACTCGCTACACACACTACAGTACAGAGCGCCATCTTTGATTCGTACGTGTTATAATAATGTAACACAACATAACACATAGGAACAAACAATTCTTGTTTCAGGACTTAATGTATATTCCCCCAATTTCACTCCGCGTAATGCCTCTAATGAGCAGGGGGACTTAATCCCCATAAGTCGGCGGTAAATCTGTTTCACGCACGCAAAGTCGCGGCTAAAAGTAAGCTAATTCTGTCCAATTTTGTATCCATCACAAAATATTTTGACGATATTATAATATGGTGTGTAACATTGTAGTTATTAGCTACGATAATTATGTTATAGTTTAATTACTTAGTGTAAACGTTTAATTGGTTGATTTTATCGAATACGAGCAACAATTACTTGTACTGTTAGTGGTAATACATTAAAATTCAGTACAAAATATTTGAACCTATCATTGATAATTATAGAAGCGTTATAGACCTGGCGTAGCTTACCTAATAACTGTCATCTTCTATTCATTCAAAATCAATTTGTAATTCGAAACAAAACTTTCTTTAGCTTAAACTTAAATTTGTAAATTCCACCACTCCTAAGCCTCTAGATATAGTTAAACACGAATTAATTATTTTGTATTAAGTTATCAAAGAAATTCTTGTTTTATAAGAACTTTACAAGTGCTAACGGAACAGAAAAAGTGTTTGCAAAAGTTGTCAAGTTCTCTTAAGGCTCGGAGTTACTTTTTGTAAGTCTCAAGTTTGCCTTCGCGGACGTGTCACACTCTCTCGGATGAAGGTTTACTACTTCCTAAGAAATAAATATATCCTATACATATTATATAACGTGTCTTATACACGTGTGTTGGATCAACTTGTCGATTTTCTAAACTACTATTTACTTCTAAATAGTAAATCAATTTTAGTGAACATCTCAGCAAGATAATATCCAAAGTTATTCCTTATATTCACTACTACTGACAACTATTAATACTATAAATAATTAAAGATTTTTGAGAATAAATCTTTTAATATTCATTGCGCTTTTAACATTGACATTTTGTTCCAGCACTCAAACCTGAGCAGGCGACAACAATCAGGCCTAATAGACAATGTAACCGGAGCCGGTGGTGACGTCACAATGTGCTCCTGGGTCGTGTCAGCTCTCATCATCCTGTTTGCCATGGGTAAGTGCACTTCTCAATATCTTTGTTGATTACATTTATAATCCGCATATTATTAAGTTATAATTGAATTTTCGGCATTATTCAAAGAGGTTTGAATCTTGGGTAGATCAAATCATTATTGAAATTTATTTCCTACTAGTTGCTCCCGCACGGTTTCACCCGCACTACTCGGCGTCTATTGACTGTAGCGTGATTTTTTATAGCCTTCCTCGATAAATGCACTATCCAACACAAAAAATAATTATTTAAATCGAACCACTAGTTCCAAACCCTTCAGCTTTATATACTAGCATAAGATTCCAATAAAGCATAGAATTTAAAATTGTAACCAATATGGCAGTAGTCGTATTTAACGTATGTAGTGTGTACTTCTTTCTGCCTACACCCTACGCGAAAAATATTAAGGTGTGATTTGATTAATTATAATACTTAAGTAAGTTGTCTCTATTCAAATTGCTTAGGGATAATTAATCTCGAGTAAGATTCCTAGATTTAAGATTCCCTTTTTCTGGAAACAATTACTTAGTGAGTCGTAATACTTGGCGGTCGCCGTTGGTGTGAATATTATAAATATTTCTTTTATATTCTCTCTTAGCAATCTTTATTATTTATACTATGAGTATGGTGACTATATAAATGAGCTAGTAGTTTCGCCCATACATAGCATTCTCCTATATGAGTTATTTTATACTTTATATATTTTAGACTGTAAGTTACCATAACGTCGATTTTCATCCAATCACATCCAGCTGTTCTCCTTTCGTGAGACCATGTCCAGCCACGGGACGGCAAGCACGAGTAACTCGCCGCCCGACCAGAAGCAGACCCCAGCGTATGGCACGTCGCGCGTCGCGTTCCGCGCACGCTTCAAAGAGTCATCAGACCACCACAGATACGTGCCAGTAGGGCTGAGGTGGATACGGAGCCGCGGAGGATCTAACGGGTTGCCGAGGCTCCGGCTCGAAGTGCACGTAGCAACGTGGTGGTTTTTAGTCAGTAAGAGTCTGACACTCACCCCGCTTCAGCCAGATGGGAGAAGTTATTAAATGACTTCTCCCCTAAAAAAACAAAAGTCGTTCTCGCTTAGTTAAGTAAGGAACATATTTGTTACTGACATTTTACAGTACAAGATAAATAGATACTCATCATCATCGTATTTAAGTCTTCATAAACAATTAGTGAAATCACGTGACTCAATGAGACCACGGATCCCAGCCGGATTAATGTAGGCTCTTTATTAATTCTGTCCAGGTAACATTATTATCCGTTTTTAAACCTTGTTGGATTGAATATTCTTTAATAATGATAAACGATCAGAAAATTTAAATAATAAGTACGTTTGGTTGTTTATCTTGGGCTGTCTTTATGCAATTTAAATACTTCTTTTGTTTAGTTATTCCAGAGATTATAAAGCAAGTTCCAAATTCAGATTTTGAAGTGCTTACTAATATGTTAATTTCCGAAAGTGACGTTAGTTGCTTACAATATTGTATTCAATACGAAACATAGAAATGCATTCATCGATCTCATGGTACTTACAAACACACAGCTTAATTAATTATAACGCGACTTAAACAATATACAAGTATTACACTAAATTAATACCAATACAACACTGATCAATCTCAGAGTATTAAATTAGTTTCCCGGTTACACAACTGTGTCACAAGAGAATCAATGTAAATGATTTTATCTCCAAGTTTAGGAGATTAGCGCGGGTTAAAGTTTTTAAGTTACGCAACTTGCCGCCGCACAGGATTACACTTACAGCTTAGTCTAAACTTCAACTTTGTATATAAACATATATACATCTAGAATAATAATAGAAAATAATAATGTATGTATATAATATAGTCATATTCATAGTTTTATGAGATACCTAAATAATGTTATGTTACACAAGTATGTACACAACTTGTGTAATATTTATATGAGGTATTTTCGGTGTTTGCTGTCGTAGTTATTTTCCTTGTATTATACTGTTAGTAATTTTTCAGTATTTTTCTTGTAGGTAACTAGAAACTTAAAAACTATTTTGCCACTTTCCCTTTGACGCAATTAATCATTTGTATATTTCATTACCACAAGGTTCATTGAACATCATCACATTGTACTACTACAGCAATGCGGCTGTCTCCAAATAATCAGAGGTCACTCCTTAACTGTTCTGTCGATTACACATTCAAAGGAAAAATGTCTTTAAAACGAAGGCCATTTTCTTTGGCCTTGCGTAGTGACAAACAATGAGTGGGCAAGACAAAGCGAGTAGAAAGCCGCGCCGACTTCTATTCAATTTGCCACGTGACATTTCACTTGAACTTATCTGTCATTGGGGCGCTACGCAGATGGCTTATAGTAGTACCACACCATGTTTTATACATTAAGATTTTATTAAGATTTCAAAATGAAACAAACAGCCATAACTATGTGTACTTACTTTATTTTCTGGACTTAAGGCTTTTATGTTTAATTTATTTTCTTTTGCTTTATCTTAAAGATTATCGTTATCATTTCAGTTTGATTAGATAGAATTGGAAATATTTCTGTCAAAGATCTGTTTGTGAATTCCGTTATGTTACAATACGCTAAACATCCGTGCACGTAGCACATAACATTTTATAAATATTTTTAGTTTTTTTTTGCATTTTGCATCAAAAACTGTTATGGAAAAATCCATTATGATTACAAGACAGTTTGCAATTACATCACCTGCAGGCGCGGCACGAAGGCTTTCCTATGGTCCTCATGGGTACCGTAGCGGTGGCAACTAATGGATTGTGCGGTAGCTGCTTTCCTCCTCTACCGCTAAATCCTTCACCTGTAATTTAATGACATTACTCCGGCGTTTGTTCTGATTCTAAACTTGTGGGAATAGAAACGGAATGACATCCACTGTAGGTTTATGTGTTTATGGTTTATTGTGGTTGTCTTGTTCTAGGTTTAGAATGGTACTAATTTAAAATGAAGTATGTATACACTGTATAGTAACTGTTAGTCCAAAACACACAGCTTACCGTGGCTCCGGCTCGAAGTGCAGAAGTAGGAACGAGGTATTTTTTTGTTAGTAAGCGCCTGATACTCCCTTCCGCCTCACCCAGGCGGGAAAAGTCATTCGATAATTTTCCCCCCTAAACACAATGCAAAACACAGATGAACAGGTCATTATTACCGTTTACCTGAAATTATGAAATTGTTACTGTTGACTGTTTGATTTAATTAAATCTTACATGTAATCTGAAAACTCGCTGGCCACGGAATTAAACAAATCCGATGTTTTATTAAGCAAATCCTCTTTAGCGCTTAACATGTATGCACGGAAGTGTAGCATGTAATATACTTGTGTACGTAGTCATAGGGTTGATCACGATACTTATTTAATTGTAATTTAAGTCATGAATTATATCTTCAATATTAATGATGTTGACGTTTTGTAAATGATATTCAAATATGGTATTGAAATCAAATACTTTTTTGAAAAATTATCCATCTATATTTACGTACGCAGGCTCGGGTAAACATCGTTTTTACTAAAGTTTCTAGTAAGTAATCAAAGTTACTGCTAAAACATAACCAGCCTCGCGTATATTTTTACAAACACGTTACATCGTGCAAAGCATTTTATCGTCCCATCTACATAACACAAGCAAACACTAAAGCGCTTAATGTCTAAAAATCCCAGTGAGTGACACAATATGGCGGCTATATGGTATCTACTTGTGAGGCCAACCAGGCCAGCCCTGCGCGGGGACTCATCAGCAGGCGAGTCCAATTTACATGTTAATTGACGTACGTCCGATGAAAAATCTCGATACGTGACACCCTTTGTACTAGTACGGCCACAGCCGACAGAGTCCATTATAATGAGATGGTATTATGATTTGATTTGCTTCGCTTTACTAAAAAATATTGCTACATCAGGTAGGTTTTATATAAAACTGGTGTACTAGTAATTGATTCAACTCCTTAAGTATTTCCGAACCGATACGACCTTCAAACCTTCAAGAAAAACAGCATTGCTTTCTAAAAAGACAGCAACGCACCTATGACTTCTCTGGTGTTGCGGGTGTCCATGTGCGGCGCTGATCACTTACCATCAGGTGATCCGACTGCTCGTTAGCCTCTTATTCCATAAAAAACTTAGATAGGCATCAAATTCAGTCAATTATTCCGAGTTCTAAAATATTGGTTAAATGTAGACGGCAAATAAAAATTGTCAATTAAAATAAAATACCAGAATAATCAACGTAGTAATATATTTTATTCCCACATATTTTTTCACTCAATAATTTTCTAATGACCTCTAATATAATAACAATTCGTATCAAATAAACATCTTACTATTATTATAAATGTGAAAGTTTGTGTGTTTATACGTATGTTTGTTTCTCTCGTCAAAATGGCTAAAGGGATATGGACGACATTTAAAATAAGTACAGATTATGGTCTGGAAGAGCACATAGGGTACTTTTTATCCCACGGGAACGCATGCAAAGCCGCGGGCAGAAACTAGTCGTCGATATCTTTGCAGCACTGCTGTAAAAGTAAACTGTTAGGTATTTATTGCAGCCATCTCCTACTTGATGAAGAGTTTCAGTCTCCATTTCATTTATTCACATAATTTAACAACGACGTGCGAATATTTAATTTTCTTTTATAACCCGATCTACCGAGTCAATTTTATTTTCGTTCGGTGTTTACGAGTAATAATAAAATTCTGGCGTAAATAAATAAATGTTTTTAATACGCCGTACTCCTCGCATTATTATGTTTATTTTCTTTTGCCTAAAGTATAATGAATGTAGGAATTAGACTTCATCACTTATTCCTAGAAGAAGTGGGTAGATAAGTAGAACCATCTACATAATTAGGTGTAGGTATCTAATACGCCCACATTGCTATTATGTATTATATTATGTTTCCTATAATCTAGAGCTAGATTTAGGGCAGGGTAATTCTAAAATTCATATTGCCACACAAAATTCTGAATTACAAAACTTTGC